TGTGAGCTCAGATAATCTACCCACCTCGGCCTCCCAAAGTGCTAGGATTACAGGTGTGAGCCACTGCCACTGGCCTTCCTTATTCTTTTACTTGTCTTTACTAGCTTTTTAAAAGTTTAACTTACATGTCATAAAACTAGTCACTTTTAAGTGTACAATTTGATGTTTGGTCATACGTGTAGATCTATTGTAATAATGATGTGAATATTTCTATCACATCCCAGTTTTCCTTCATGCCTCTTTATACCTGATTCCCTATCACTGCAGGCTGGAAGCCCTGGGCCACAGATCTTACCAATCTGGGGCCTTTAAGACCTGGGCCTCGCAGCAGGAGGTAAGTGGCCAGTGACTGAACGAAGCTTCATTTGTATTTACAGCCACTCCCCATTGCTCCCATCACCAGCCTCCTCCCTCATCTGCCTCCTGTCACATCAGCAGCAACATTAGATGCTCCTGGGAGCGTAAATCTTACTGTAAATTGCTCATGCAGGGGATCTGGGTTTCATGCTCCTAATGAGAATATAATCTTCATCCTCCTCACCCCCCATCCATGGAAAAACTGTCTTCCACAAAGCTGGTCCCTTGTGACTAAAAGGTTGGGGACCACTATGGCCTAACAGCCAGCCCCTGGAACCCCTGGTCTGCTTTTTGTCATATAGTTTTGCCCTTTACTGAGTGTCATATAAATAGCAGCTTCAGTAGGCCATCTGTCCGCTGTTCTCTCTCAGCATGATTACCTTGAGACTCATTCAGTAGATCATCCTGTTAATGGCTGAGTCGTATTCCATTGTATAGCTGTGCCACAATTTGTCTGTCAGTTCATCAATTCATGGACATGTGGGTTGTTTTTAGTTTTTAGCTTTTAGAAATAAAGTTTCTGTGAGTATTTGTGTACAAGTATTTGTGTAGATGTGTTTTCCTATCTTTAGGGTAAATACCTAGGATTGTGAGGTTGCTGGTAGGAGAATGAAACATCTGTGACTAAATGGTTTCCCAGGATGTTGGACTTGCAGTGCTAAAACATGGGTAGTTCTGGGTGAACGGGGACACTTGGTCACCCTGTGCTTTGCTGTTTGGCAAAGTGTATGTTTAACTTTGTGAGAAACTGCCAAATTGATTTCTGCAGTGACCACACCATTTTGCATTCTTTTTTTTTTTTTTTTTTGAGACAGAGCCTCAAGCTATCCCCCTGGGTAGAGTGCTATGGCATCACAGCTCACAGCAACCTCCAACTCCTGGGCTCAAGCAAGTCTCCTGCCTCCACCTCCCAAGTAGCTGGGACCACAGGTGCCCGCCACAACGCCCAGCTATTTTTTGGTTGCAGCCGTCATTGTTGGTTGGCGAGCCCAGGCTGGATTCAAACCCGCCACCTTAGGTGTATGTGGCTGGCACCTTAGCCGCTTGAGCCACAGGTGCCGAGCCCATTTTGCATTCTTATCAGCAACATATGATAAGTTCCGGTTCCTTCACATCCAACACTTGGTTATATCAGTCTTTGTCATTTTGTCTATTCTAGGATTTGTCATGGGACCATTGTGATTTTAATCTGTATTTTGCTAATGACTAAGAATGTGGAACACCTTTTCATGTTTATTTGTCATCAAAATACTTTTTTGGTGACATGATGGTTCAGATTCTTTGTGTGATGTCAAGTGGGCTGCTTGTCCTCTTATGGAGTTATGGTCTGAATATAAGTAATTAATCAGATGTTTTTTTACTTCAAAGTATTAAGGGAGTACAAATGTTTTTGGTTACGTAAATTACATTTGTAATGCTTGAGTCACGGCTATAAGGGTGCCTATTACTCAAATAGTGTTCATTGTACTATTTGTACAAACGACTTGTTAGGTAGGTTTTTGCCTCTGCCCTCTTTGCTCCTCCCCTCTGAGATAACTGTTTTATAAATATTTTCTATCAGTGGCGTGGCACCTGTAGCTCAATGGCTAGGGCACTGGCCACATACACTAGGGCTGGCAGGTTTGAACCCAGCCCAGGCCTGCTAAGCAACAATGACAACTACAACAACAACAAAAATAGCTGGGCATTATGGTGATCGCCTGTAATCCCAGCTACTTGGGAAGCTGAGGCAAGAGAATTGCTTAAGCCCAAGAGTTTGAGGTTGCTGTGAGCTGTGACAGCACTGCACTCTATCAAGGGCAACATAGTAAGACTCCGTCTCAAAAAAAAGAAAAAAATATATTTTCTACCAGCGTGTGGTCTGCCATGCCATTGCATTTTGAAAAGGGAAAGGTGTTAATTATTTCCAGATACTAACATATATTTAAAAATTATGGATTTATATGTCATTGTTTTATTAAAAATAATTAATAAGTAAGCACAAAAGTTAATTTAACGTACTAATTAAAAGGGTTTTGATAAAATTAACAATGTATACTTTCTGTTGATTGGTTTACGTGTAGAATGATAATAATAACAACAAATAGGTAATTCTTATTCAGTACTTACTATGTGCCAGGCCATGTTTTAAATGCTTCGTATATATGAACTGATTTAACTTAAAGATGGGGAAACTGAGGCCAAGAGAAGATAAGGGACCTGACCTAGAAGAATTTAATTCTGTTTACTTTCAACTCCCTTGAAATCCACAGTAAACATAAACCACATGCAATCATATTGTAAATGTCTGATTTCAGTGCAGATGTGTCAGGGTGGAAGTGGGCCTCAAGAACATCCTTTGTATGTTTTGTTTGTTTGTTTGTTTTGAGACAGAGACTCACTGTCACCCTGGGTAGAGTGCCGTGGCATCATAGCTCACTGCAACCTCAAACTCCTATGCATAAGCTATTCTCTTGCCTCAGCCTCCCAAATAGCTGGGACTATAGGCATTTGCCACAATGCCTGGCTATTTTTAGAGATGAGGTCTCACTCTAGCTCAGGCTGGCCTCGAATCTGTGAGCTCAGGCAATCCATCCTCCTTGTCCTCCCAAGTGTAGGATTGCAGGCGTGAGCCACCATGCCCGACCCATCCTTTGTATGTTTTGACATAAACATGGACTTTGTATCCACTCAGTTTGGAGAAAAGGGAATCACAGTGAAATAATAAATCACCAGGGAATGATGTAACACACTTAGAGCGTTGTATAAAATAAAGTGATAAATAGCAAATAATTTGAAAGTAAATCGGGCTCAGCGCCTATAGCTCAACCGGCTAAGGCGCCAGCCACGTACACCTAAGGTGGCGGGTTCAAATCCCCAGCCTGGACCTGCCAAACAACGACGGCTGCAACCAAAAAATAGCCGGGCGTTGTGGCGGGCGCCTGTGGTCCCAGCTACTTGGGAGGCAGAGGCAGGAGACTCGCTTGAGCCCAGGAGTTGGAGGTTGCTGTGAGCTGTAATGCCACGGCACTCTACCCAGGGGGACAGCTTGAGGCTCTGTCTCAAAAAAAAAAAAAAAAGAAAGTAAATTGTGGGTTTAAGATTAGAGAAACAGTCAAGATGTTCTAAATTTTCTACCTTTTCTCAAAAGGAATCTCAAAATTAAAGCTATGAAAGGGGACCAGTTCAATTAGTAAAGAATTTAAATAGTTTAAAAAGGGAGTGAAGGGTGTGGTTATTTGTAGTGAGTGAGTTGGCTCTGGAGCTTCAGTCCTCATAAGCCACATACTCTTGATCAGAGTTACTGTAAGAGTTAAATCACTTTATACATTTAAAGCACTTGGCCCAGTGCCTAGCATGTAGTAAGTGATGAATAAAAAGTCACTATTTTTAATATAAGTTTAGTGTATAGTAAAAAATGAGCTAGCACAATATAGCAAGTGTGAAAAACTGTGATCTTTGAAGGTTGACAGGCCCAGGTTCGTTTCCAGGTCAATTCCTGGAAACAATTTGCTGAACATATAGTTCATTAAATTATTGAGTATTTTTTTAAGTTTGAGAAATGCTCCTTGCCCTGTCCCTGCCACTGATGGTGAAACAGCTATGGCCTTTCATGAACTGACTTTTGGGGATCTGACTTTCAGCTAATTGAGATTTCTGCTAATCAATGCATTGGAAAATTGGCCTGCTCACCCTGAGTTGGAATCCTGGCTTAGACACTTGCTAACTGTGTGTGACCTTGGACAAGCCACTGAATCTTCCTGAGCATTGTAGGAGTATGGGAATAATATTAGGTAATTGAGCAAGTTAATACATGTAAAGCATTTGGAATAGCATGTGCCTGGCACATGGTCTCAGTCCCATATCAGAGTCCAAGACTCTAGCCACTGTGCCAACTCTCTCTCTCTGTCTCTATTTTTTTTTTTTTTTTTGCAGTTTTTGGCCAGGGCTGGGTTTGAACCTGTCACCTCCAGCATATGGGGCCGGCACCCTACTCCTTTGAGCCACAGGCACCGCCCCCATCTCTCTCTTAATAAATGTATGTTAAGAGTCAGGGAGACTGGGAGGCAGGGAAGATAGGAGGGAGCTTGGGAGGCAGGAAAGGGAGGCTAGGAATTGGGAGGCTGGGAATCTGGGAGGTTGGGAAGGGAGGTTGCAAGGTTGGGAGTTTGAGAGGCTGGGAAGAGAGACTGGGAGGTTGAGAGGCTGGCTGTGTGATGCTATCTTATATCAGCTATACGTGATTTCTTGGAAAATTTATATATATTAATTTGTACCATTTGCTATCATTAGACTGAAGGAATATTGTTACTTGGAATTCTCAGATACGATTTTTCCTTGTTCAAATCCAAGATATAGAATGTGACTATGAATAACTGATAATACATTTAACTGATAGGAAAATTGAGGGTAGAATTTTTCTCCTCAACTTTTCCATTCAGTCTTATAGTGACCAAAGTGATGAAAAATTCCAACTATGTATGTCCTGCTCGTTGTATCCAAGAAGAATCTACCAGCTCTTAAGGGCCAGACACACAAATGGCATTTTAAGTACAAGTGGCATGTTTGCAACCTGAAAAGGAGGGGAGGTGGGTCTGTGCACCTGGAGTTCAGGGAAACCCAGAAATCTCACCCTGCCCCCTTCTCTGTTGTGTTTGTCACAGCTTCACCCCCTTCCTTATCTTGAAAATGGAAAAGATGCTCGCCAGCTGTTTTCTGCTGATCCTTGGACAGGCCCTCCTCGTCCCCGTGGAGGCCAGGCAGCGACCACATGAGAGGGCCACCTCTAGAGGCAGACACACTCGGACCCACCCCCAGACGGCCCTCCTGGGTGAGTAAGGGGCCCCACCTGCAGAAGGGGTTGTCCAGACATGGGGTCTGGCATCCTTTGGAGAAGCTCTCCTATCCCTGGGTCCTCTATTGGGTGTGCAGGGGCCAGGGTGTCATTGGTAACAGGTGCGTCCCGAGTGCAGGATATGGTTGTGCACAGGCACTCAAAATAAAACCAAACCTTTTCTATTTTGAAGCCTTCAGTTTAATCTGAGGCTCATGATTTTTCTCCAATATGCAGAGCAAAATTTTTCTTTTTCCTTTTTGAGACAGAGCCTCAAGCTGTCCCCCTGGGTAGAGTGCCATGGCATCACAGCTCACAGCAATCTCCCAACTCCTGGGCTTAAGCGAGTCTCCTGCCTCAGCCTCCCGAGTAGCTCGGACCACAGGCGCCCGCCACAATGCCTGGCTATTTTTTGGTTGCAGCCGTCATTGTTGTTTGGTGGGCCCGAGCTGGATTCGAACCTGCCACCTTAGGTGTATGTGGCTGGCGCCTTAGCCACTTGAGCCACAGGCGCCGAGCCCCAGAACAAAATTTTTCATCTGAAAATACCCTTATTGAGTTTATCCGGACAAAGATGTCATGAAAAAACTTTTTTTTTCTTTTTTGAGACAGAGTCTCAAGCTGTCACCCTGGGTAGAGTGCTGTGATGTCACAGCTCACAGCAACCTCCAACTCTTAGGCTTAAGCGATTCTCTTGCCTCAGCCTCCCCAGTAGCCGGGACTACAGGTGCCCACTACAATGCCCAGCTATTTTTTTGTTGTAGTTGTCATTGTTTTTTTGCTGGCCCAGGCAGGGTTTGAACCTGCCAGCCTTGGTGTATGTGGCCGGCACCCTACCCACTGAGCTATGGGTGCCGCCTGAAAAAAAACATTTTTGTTGGATCTGTTAATAATGCTTCCCCGTGTGGTGGCAGGGAAATGCAGCATGCACAGAGGAGAGGTGGGGGCTTATAAGCAGAATTGAGATATCAAGAATGGCATATGCCAGGGGTCTGTTATTCTGGTCTGGTGAACATGTTTTCTTCAGGTAAAGTTTTTTCTTTTAAAAAGAATTCTCGGGAGAGACAGGAAATGTCATGAGAATGCACAGAATATAGATGGAACAGCTGGTTCTACACAAGGGCTCTGGTAAGCCTGGCAGGCAGAGGTCTAAGAAGCTTGGCCATTGGAAAGAGAGTGGGTTTTGGCATAGACCTGAGTTTAAACCAGGTGCGGTGGCTCACACCCTAGCCACTAGTACTCCGGGTGGCGGAAGCAGGTGGATTGCTTGAGCTCAGGAGTTCAAGACAAGCCTGAGCAAGAGCAAGACCCTGTCTCTACTGAAAAAAAAAAAAGTTAGCCAGGCATCATGGTCAGCACCTGTAGTTCCAGCTACTCAGGAGGCTAAGGCAAGAAGATCACTAAGGCAAGAAGATCACCCAGGAGTTCGAGGTTGTTGTGAGCTATGCTGATGCCATGGCACTGTACCCAGGGCAAAAGAGTGAGACTCTGTCTCAAAAATAAATAAATAAATAAATAAATAAGAGCTGAGTTCAAGTCCTGCCTCTGCTGCTTACCAGATGACCAGATGTATATACTTAGGCAATGCAACCTCTGAGGTTCAATTCCTTCATATAAAATAGGAATGTTAATGCCTACTTTGGATCATTTTTGTGAGGCCTAAATTGTAGGTATACACTGAGTGAAAGCTTTATTATAACTATCATTCTACAAAGTTCTCTAAAACTGTATTTTACATTTACACCTTGTTGGCCAGCCACTGGTATCTGACCTCTATGAGGGCTACTGAGGGGACTATGCAGGATGGGGTAGCCTCAGCATTGCACTTAAAATCAGGAACCAAAGGGACCAAAGAGCCCTGCTTTGAGAGGTCAGAATCTTCACTGATGTTGATTGAACAGACCCCAGCAGCAATGATGCTTCTTACTTGTCTGCTGTCTCCTGGGGAGGCACCCTGTTTCCATGGTGACATAAACATGTGAAAGGGACTGGGAAATGTTTAGTATGTTAATTAAAGGGTTTTTAAAAAACAAATTTCAAGATGATAAACATCTCTCTCTCTCTATGTATATAACTGAAAATGCCTGATTTCTAGATCATCAGCAGTGATTGCACGCTTGGGTTTCTCATAGGGCTGGTCTCTGGGTGAGCCGACTGCACACTTAGCTGGAAAAGCATACTCCTTCCTCTCTCTCTCACATATGCACCCTACCCCTGGCCTTCCTGGTCCTTCCTCTCTCTTTCTTTCTCTTGCAGGCTCACACACACCCCACCCAGCTTTCTGTGGCTGCCAGCATTTACCATCCTCCTCCTTCACCCTGAGGTCAGGCTCTGAACTGTAACCTTTGTGTTCTGAGATAAGAGAGAAACCTGTTTTGCTAAAGGTATTAATCCCCTATCCAGGATTGATTCTTTTCCTCATTTTGCTGGAGAATGTGTCAGGGACAAAGAGGATGGGACACAGCCTGTCTCCCCCACCCCAGGACTAGAAGTGGGCATGCGTGTTTCTGTTCCCACGAGTAGACATGCTGGGGCCGCTGGGCTTGTGAACATGGCTGAGTGAGAATCATGAATCCAGAAGGCAAACACTATGACTGTGGTCAGTGTTCACAAGAGCCATCTGCTCTGGGAAGTGTGCTCATTGGTAGTCCTTGCCCAGATGGGCTGACCTCTTCCTTCTTAGAATACGGTATCCTCCGTTTTAGGTGTGTTATTTGCTTTTCTTGGCTTTTGGGGGAGTTGTTAGTGCTGTTGTTCAGAACATTGCTCAGGCTGATTATTCGTGGCAAATCATTTTGGCCATACAACATTTATGGTGTCCACCAGCATGATGTCATCTCACTGGTTACTTGCTTGCTTTCAGTGTCTGAAAGTTTAATGGAGTAGAAACAGCAGAATTGTTTCTCAGATTAATTTTTTGTTTCAATTTTCTGGCTTTTAAAAAATGTTTTTGTTTTATATCTAAATTTATGTCAGAGGCACCATAACGACTTGACTCCGTTAAAAAAATAATGCATGCATTTATTTACCCATCCTGTGAATACCTTGTTGGTCACACCTGTGATGTCTGTCATTGTGGGCTTAGCTCTTACCTCCTTCATTTATCTGGAATTTCTCTTCTGTGCCAGATCCTGGGCTTGGGGTAGTGTTTACGATGAATAAGCACCATCCAGAAATGCACAGCATGGTGGGAGAGACAGGCATGTAAAAAGCTGGATCTGTGTGGAACAGTAGAGGCTTATCATATCAGTGTTACAGTGCACTTGGTATAAGGTAGTGGTTCTCAGGCTCTTTGGTCACAGGATCCTTCCTTTTATACTCAACAGTTATTAAGGATCCCAAAGAGCTTTTATTTATTTATTTTTGAGATTAGAGTCTGGCTGTGTTACCTTGGCTAGAGTGCAGCTCTTGGCATCATCACAGCTCACAGCAACCTCAGACTCCTGGGCTCAAGGGATCCTCCAGCCTCAGCCGCCTGAGTAGGTGAGATTACAAACATGTCACCATACTGAGCTAACTTTTCTATTTTGTTTGTGTTGTGGGGTCTCACTGTGTTACCCATTTCTCAAATTCCTGACCTTAAGCGATCCTCCCACCTTAGCCTTGGAAAGGACTGGGATTACAGGTGTGAGCCACTGTATCTAGCCTAAAGAACTTTTGTTTATGTGGGTTAGAGCTACTCACATTTATTGGATTAAAAATAAAATGAGAAACTTTCAAAAATTGTTAATCAGTTTAAAAATAAAATTAATATTCTATGTGTATAAAACTATATTTTATAAATAATAAAAAAAAAATTAATGGCTCAGCACCTGTGGCTCAAGCAGCTAAGGCGCCAGCCACATACCCCTAAGCTGGTCGGTTCAAATCCAACCTGGGCCTGCCAAACAACAATGATTATTTTTTGTCTGCAACCAAAAAAATAGCCAGGCATTGTGGTGAGCGCCTGTAGTCCCAGCTACTTGGGAAGCCTCAGAGGCAAGAGAATCACTTGAGCCCAGGAGTTGGAGGTTGCTGTGAGCTGTGATGCCACAGGGTGACAGCTTGAGGTTCTGTCTCAAAAAAAAAAAAAAAAAAAAGAAAAAATTAGTGAGAGACGTGGTACCTTTTTACATTTTTGCAAATCTGTTTAATGTCTGGCTGATGGAAGATAGCTGGATTCCCTTTTTTATCTCCCCCTCTTTCTCTCTCTCTCTTTTATTTATTTATTTTTTTTGAGATAGTATCTCCCTCTGTCTCCCAGGCTGGAGTGCAGTGGCATCATCATAGCTCACTGACACCTCAAACTCCTGGGCTCAAGGGGTCCTCCTGCCTCAGCCTCCCTAGTAGCTGAGACTTCAGGTGTACACCACAATGCCTAGCTAATTTTTCTACGTTTTGTAGAGATGGGGGTCTCACTCTTGCTCAGGCTGGTCTCATTTTTCATTCATTCAATCTGGTATAAAATGTTATTTCGGTTAGATTATATTAAAAAAAAAAACAACCAAACATGGCCTTAAACAAATATGTAGTTGGAAAAAAGAAGAGTACTTTAATAGCCTTTTCATATAATTGTGGATATTTTTTGATACTACACCAAAACTTGACAATTGGTAGTTCCTTAAACTAATCTAAAACCACATCAGTAAACTGTTGTACTCATGAAAGAATGGAAGTATAAAAGACAAACATTAGTGTCATGAAAATAGTTCTGACCTCCTAGACCCTCTGAAAGGGACCCCTAGAGTTCCCCCAAACCACAGTTTAAGTGGCAGGTTTAAGGGAATTGTTCCCAGTGAAGGTCACGACTACATGGAGCCCTTAGGGATGAGCAGGCAGCAGAGGAGGGAGGGTGCAGCGTGGCAGTGGGGCCTGGACAAGGCACAGGGGACTGCAGGCTGTTCATCAGGCAGGTGGTCTGAGCTGAAGACAAGCTGTGGGGGCTCCAGCAAGTTTGAACTCCATGTTGCAGGTTGGGAGCCTGTGGAGGAATAAACAGATCAGCATCATCACTTTGA